TATGGTTCGATGGTACAGTAACTCTCGAGTAGCAGCGATTTCTGCGTGCACCATAGCAACGTGCTTTTGCTATCGTAAAATCATACAATAAAACGATTGAGTACCATTCGTTTATTGTTATCTTAACATTGTTCAGGTTAAACGGTTTACCTGCAGTTTTATGCATTTACTCTACAACAATGTAAAACAGCAAGTGGTACTGCACCTCCGTAACAAAATTTGTGGTCTGCGAAAATGAAATTCAGATACACTCTAGCAGATGACGAAAGTACAGCCGTGTCCTCGTACAATCAACTAGCTCCTCAGCTCCACTGAGACCACGAGAGGTGGCTGAGCGTATTTTCTCGCATGGAAAGCTCGTAAACTCCGTGGAAAGTTAATTAAATCGAAAGTTTCGCGCGCAGATGAACTGGGTGGACGGCGCTTGGACTCGCACCAGCGTATATACATGCGATTGGTGGAACTTGACGACACCAGACCGGGTCTCTCATGAAAATTATCTCAACCACTCGCTCCGTCTTGCAATTAATCCGCGTGAAACCGCGCGCTCATTTACAAACTGCCGTCGAATGCCGACCAAAGTGCATAATGGTGGTGTTGATTCTCGCTTTCCGCGCGAACGGGGGGACTGGAGGTAAAGGAAGAGGAAATTTAATGGCACCCGATTGACGTGAGCGGCGATTGATTGGTGCAGCCACTTACCAGGATATTATGCCGATGCTCGATCAAGTGCTTATCGACGTAGGCTTATACCTAATAAATACTGGGAAATAAAATTCTCGAATGAAATAAATATTGGACTTTTATGCATACTTGGAAACGATATAGTGGCATGAAAAACCCATACGATGAATAAAAATATTGAGCTTTTTCCGATTCACTGCTTTTTTTCAACTTCACGTTGTCCCAGGAGTCTATTGAATAATTTTCGCAAAAAATCGCGAAATTAGCTACACGCGAGGCTTTAGGTCTCAAAAGCCACATCCCATTCCCATGAACCTTCTCACACCAGAACCAAACAGCTCAATTCCGTTCAAACTCATATCCTGCGAGAAATAACTTGTGCATCCAACTTGGCGCGCCGCACGTACTTCAGGCAGGATGTTATTAATTAACAGCGATGGCACGCCACAGCATCCTTGTATGGTATACGCTCTGAAAACGTGCTTCGTTTACTTTTTTTCGCATACATATACACAAGCTCTCCCACCGTGGACAAACTACACTTTACGCCGAAAGAAGATACGGTTCTTACCTGCATACACGTGCTTCCACGTGGTTTACGAGCGCAACATCATCACGTTGCAGCTCGTATTATATTAATTTATACACGGAGCGCGTGTTTCCTGGTAAAAAAATCACAGATCCTGTCGTCTACCTGCAAGGACTATCTTTCGTGCATACAGGACTTGATGCTGGTTAAAAGGAAACCGGAAAAACAAAGTTGTAGTCACGCTCAAAGTCACGCCATTATATGTATATACCATGCTCGAGAGTGAAAACTACCCTTGCCAGATGTATCTGCATACGCATGCACATGCAAGCCGACGTTTTCGCGTTCGTCTGCCGTATTATCACTTTCCAAAGTCTCTCGATTCTCCTCGTGCTTTCCCTCTTACTTGCCTTTGCGTGTCGTATAGCAAGCCACGCGTGCATACGCGTGTAAAGAGGGCTCCAATAAATCTTCGTCGTCACCGTACTCTCATCGCGTGCCCGTGTAATATGCGTCAAGCGATTCTCACGTGATTATATCCGCTCTCTCTCTCGCTCGCTTCGCTGATGTGTGCACATGCACTTACGAGATAAAGATTTTGTACATTACAGGCGAATCTATAACGCAAAGCGTGATGGCTGTTACCATTTTATCCCTTTTGATTGCCGTCGTGATTTTGTTAGCACAGTTCGCATGTGGTAATGTATTGTTTGGCACCAAAAGTAAATAAATGAAATTTTATCTCAATAGTCAGGTAACGAAAGTTTGATTGGATTGTAAGTACACAGTCAACAAGGTATGAAAATTCCATACTTGCAAACCCATCGTTTACTTTCTCGTGTGTCCAATAGCACTCATCTACGATGGATTGGCGTCATAAAGTACTCAAATACATGATGTACGCTCGTAGGAGAAAGACACTCAGTTTATTTACAAGTTTCACGCAATATGCGTTAATTAGAATTTTAAATCCATGTGTGCACGTGGCTGGAGTCGGAGCACACGTTCCCTTATTTTCCGGCGATGGGGAGAAGCGCAAAACAATCGATCGGTGCAGGGAAATTTTCCATTGGCTATTTCGGGCTCATAACTCCAGCACCCATACTTTGGGCTACTGTGCGGCACATGTGCATGTGTATATTGCGACTGATAAATTATTCAACTGTCCCGCCTCGCGTCGCCTAGGTAGTATTTCGCTTGACGAAGTTAACGTAAATCGTTGAATAGTTTACACGCCCTGAATTTCTGATAGCTTTCGAGTAGCTGTGTACATGTGCGCCACGTTCCGTTTCAACTACTATACGTACGAGTGTTTTATTACGCTACCCGCATAAAATCTCGTTGTTGGGTCAAAGTTGATTCTCTGCGGTTTTTCAAACAATAAGCGGTAAACAAAAGCAAGTGTCCCAAGTGATAGGTCAATTGAAACTCTGTGTGGTCTTCTTCCGACAAAAATCAATCAAACATACAATTATGTTCAAAAAGAAACATTGAAGGCATTGTTATCGGTAATTATACGGAGTCACATATTTTTAAATGCAATTGAAATATAGTGGCATACATGAGCAGCGAATTAGTACATTAACACGGAAACAACAATCGTTATCGATTTCTTCAAGCGAGAAAACAATGGCAGGTATGTAAATAACAATGGCCCATTAAAATGGACCAAATTCCGGAACCGGAGACCAAATTGAATATAATCAAAAGATTATGGTGTGGTGATACAAATCCGTGCTCAGGATCGTTACTGTTCAGCATTTTTAAGAGTACGTGTCTACGTGACAGATCAAATGCAAAACACGAAAACACCTGCACAAATAATTCCTTCTGTGATTCATGTATAAACTATTCACAATGTTTTGTGTATTTTGTGTATTGTTATGACATATCTAACACTCGTACAAAGGATTTACGTGACTTACCAAAAACCTATAGTCCATGGCGCACTGGTCATGCTACCGATAACAGTGACACATGTACTATAATTTCATTTATTCCCCCTTTTAAAGCCCATCTCCATACCCATCGTATTATCGAACACGTGGTCGACGAACCTTCGTATCATTCTTTGTAATTCCACATGCCCATGCGCTAAATCACCTAAATCGCGACGTGGTCTGCAACATCAGTGCACACATCCGTTCTCCACCCTCCTCTATATGCATGCACACACTTTCCTATCTTCCCTTTGTATTCATTAATTAGTCGGTCTCGCATTAACGACGCCACCAACCCAACGCGTCCACGTGTATGTATACATAGATATGCGTGCACTTCCTGGAATTCCATGCATTTGCGGGGGCGTGTTGCCGAACAAGTACAATATGCATCCACCCACGTGAGCATATGTGCATATGTAAATTCAAGAAACTGGTTGTCGTTGTTCTTGTTGTTGTTGTTGTTATGTATCATTAGAGCGTGCGAACCACCGTAGGCCAATTATTCGCGCACAAATGGTGTGATGATGCAGGTACTATTGGATTGCTTTGATTGGAATTTAGAATTGGCACGGTTATATACATGGATGGCTAGTGAACATTCGTTTATCACTACTACTGCTGGTGCTACCTTTGATTCGCTGTGAGGCCGACAATTATTTCACTGATTTATTGCAGGGGATCAAAGAAGAGCGCTTTTGTCAATTTTATCAGAGATTGGCAGATACCCTGTTATACTTCTTTAATTCCACCCCCCCCCCTTCCGGTAATCAATTTATGGAGCTCTCGATTGTGCTGACATAAAGTGATTGTAATTAGTCTACCATCAAATTTTCGTCATTGAAATACAATTCAAACGTGATGTAACCTTTAATTAAAATGGAAAATTAACATCGTATATGCAAAACATGATTTTCAAATTCGTTTACTGATATTAATATGCTCATCTCTAAAGGAAAATGTATGAAATATTCATAAAATGTATTCCGAATGGTAAAAATTAAATTCGAAAGTCTAAATGGTTATATTGCGGGAGTTGAGAATCAATAGTATAACATTGTAATGAATGCCAGTGTTAAGTAATTGTGTTTTTTTTTTTTTTTTAATAAGAAAAATTTATGCTATTATTTCATTTTATGGACTAAAATTATACATGCATATCGTGCGCTCATTGAGGGAGAAAAAAAGTTTCAAACGCTTAATCATTATCGATCCCCCATGGGATTGAAAAGAAGCGATACAGCCGCTCGGCTCGATATTAATCACAAGACCTCTTCATTTTTAGCATGTAATTGATCATAAATCACTTCTTGAAAAAAAAAATTTCAACCTAAAACTAAATAAAAATCTCTAAAACTTGCTTGAAGACTCGCTTTCTCATCCACACCTATTAATCGACAGAAAAAGGAAATCTCCCCCTGCATTGCTTCAATCTCAATCGATAACCTTAAAAAAATTTTTTAAATGAAGAAAAAAACAGATGACGTTTAATTAAGACTCTCACAAGCAATGACTAACGCACTCCAGATCCAAAGCTAGTAACCCTCCGGAAACCTTCTCCCTTTTTTTTATCCTTTCTCGTTTCAATTAATTTACGCAGAGCATCGCTACCACCGAAGTTCATAAAAACTTAATTCTCATTACCCCGTGCCATACAATTTCTCCATTTTATTTCAACCTATCTATTTCCCTCACACCTTATTTTTAAACTTTCTCGTGTACCTCATGGATCCATTAACGTTAATGCATAAATTTACTTTGGTACTCTGATGATTTTTAGCCACAAAAAATGCCGTACAATTTAACAGCTGTTGCTAAATTTTTCTCCTTTTTGTTTGTTTCGACAGGGACTTGAGGCCAGCGAGTCTGGAGAAAGGCCAGGAACTACTAAGGCTAAAGTTCTACTCAGCATACGCCTGGGGCGGGCCGCTCATAATTGCCGGCCTGGCAGCCTTCATCGATCATCTGCCCTACACACCGGAACAGACCTTCCTCAAGCCGCGCTTCGGCGAAAAACGATGCTGGTTCTACGGTAAGTCGATTGTGTGTGTTATTTTTGCAAAATTGATCAATGCAGATTTTGATAATCGTTATTAGGCGCAATGTTAAATGTCAGAGCTTACTATAAGTCTCGAGAATAGGGAAAAAAAAAAATTGAGTGCCGTAGTTTTTGAACCAAAGAAAAGCCAACTTCTACAGTTAGCTCTGTACAATGCGGTCTCGCTATGCAAATACGATGTAATACGCAGTCACCGAGAGCCATTCAAACTTAAATGGGTTACCCAGTTCTTCAAGACCCCAGTGATAAACAAAAAAGTTTATTCAATTTAGCTGGTTGCTCCGACCTCTGAACTTTCAAATTTTCCGAGTGCAGGAGATAAAGAGCCAGGAAAGCGAAAAGCCCACAAGAAAATGTTTCATAGAGCTAAATTGAATGGCTTTAAGCTCTAGAAAAATGTCACGGGGGGTCCATTAATTGTTACTTAAAACAAGTACGACTGCACAAGTCTTGCAAATGCTTCATAGCCGTTAGCATCGTCCTAAACAATAAGGGTACAATGCGATAAAAGAGAAAGTGATTTGCATTCAGATGTCATTTCAACTACGTTGCAGCTCGATTTGTTACCGTATATTACCTTTATACTTTGATATTCCTACGTTCTTCAACTTTTCAATTATTTTTTTTTCAAAACAAAAGCCAATAGATTGCACTTCTTGCATAAGCAGATTCTTACAGTCATCGTAAATGTGGAAAATCAGAAAAATGGCAATTTATAGGGTCTACGTAAAAACAATGAACATGAAAACATGTGAACAAATGTATACATCCTTCTTGACGAAAAAAATAAAAACTCATTTCAATGAAATCGGAAAAGAAAGAAAAGATGTTTAAATCATATTTGTAACGAAAGTACGCTGCAAAATCTATTTTCGTAATAGTTCGTGGGTAATTAGAATATTTTCAAAGTGATTGCAATTACGATGAAACAAAAGAAAAGAGAATCAAGCAAAAAGTTGAAAATCAATTGGAAAAATGGGAGAAAAAAATTATTTTCAATTCTCGGAACAAAGACGCACATGTCCGAGAGGTATACGTGCGCAAATAAACGCAAATGCCACACATACAATAAAAAGAGCCCGAAAGAGAGAAAAGCAATCAGAAGTAGGAAAAAAGAATAAAACATTAAAAAAAGAAAAAAAAAATCAACTGAGAAGAGATTGACGCGTTAAAGCTCTCTGGTAAGCACACTAAGGCAAATACACAAGCTTGGCCAAAACACCCCGGGCACTCGATGCTCTTCCCGTGTCTTGTATATACCTATACTAAAAAGTGACTGCAGAGGGAGGAACGAAGAAGGGAGAAGAGATGGGGTAGGAAGATAAACCTGGCGCCAGACTGCCGCTACCCCTTACTCCCTACTCACCATACCAGTGAGTCAATCACTTCCTTTCTCGATAAAACCAAAGGCCAAGTGCTCGATTGTTCATTAACAGTGATAATTAGCACGCGTTCATACAGAATCGTCGATAACGAGTAAAAAGTTCAATAAACTGCAAGATTTACAGCTTTACCAGGCATTCCGTATAATTAGTTTTCCCATAGTAAGTCCATCAAATCCTAAGCGTTCCCATGACATCTCTTGGACGAAGAAATCGTCAATGAGGACAAAAAAAAGTACACGTTGCAGCTACAGTTAGCCCGTCTCCGTCAAACTCGAAAGAGAAGCAAAGAAGGAAGGAAAAAGCAGAGACTGCGGCAATTTATTTCAGATTACGACTCCCCGCCCTCATTGGCTATAGGGTAAATCCCACCCCGTTTGACCCGCGCATATAAATATACTCTGCAGAGCTACATACGTGGAGAAGGGAGGAAAATACCGGGGGTATATACATTCGATGGTCGAAAGGAGATAAGAGAAGCCTAATAAACGAGCGGAACGATCCATCGAGTTGTTTCGCAAAACAGTTTAATGCAATTATCGCGATTGAGCGAACGTTGCTACCGGCCGACCCCTTTTCCAGACACAGTGTATACTATACAGCCGAGGCAGCACGCATTACGTAAACTATATATGAGTTGCGTACACTACAGCACTGCATTACTTTTCATTCGAAAATTGTGTGCTCGCTTTAGCATAATTTATTGCCGAATTTATCCCTACACGATTCTTTTCGCCGAGTACATCTATGTACTGGATTGAACTTTCCTATCGGATGGCTTTTCGAGTTTATTTAAGAAAGCTATTGCAGTGAAGATTCAAAAGCCTTTCTTATGATTTTTGTCAGCCCGTCTTTGTGGCCTGATCACGTAAGAATTACGACTACGTACGTTATTTCCTCCTTTTTCTCTGGTATGTATCACTAAACGGTGCATTTAGATTGGATAAAATTTTTCTTGATTCGTATCTGCAAACGTGATTGTCTGGTGTTCATCTAAAGAAAAATATGAGGTAGTACGAGAAACATTTGAGGGACCTACTTGTACACTGACTCTTCCTAATTTACATGCCAAGATGATTTTATTTGACAAAATAACATCATCTGGGTGCTAAGGAACTATATTATAATTCACCCCTTCAATTAGTACAGCTAATCACGCAAAGTTGAAATACAATTTATGGGTGGATGCTTAATCTTTTGCTTCACAATATGCTTTATGTACTTCTTTTATTAGTAACAAATTTTAGAAATTTTTCTACTAAAAAAATATATTTTTACACAAATGTATGTGACTAATTGTCTCGATTCTACTTTGGCGAAAATGGTAGTTTTCCTACGAGTTTGAAAAGTCTCTGTTTGCAAACCGAGAGGTTTGCGGCCCGAGCCAAAGGCGAGGGACGAAACGAGGTTCGTAAAGGAGACTTTTCGAACGAGTTCCGGAAAACTGCTTTTTCGCCCGAGGAAGTACCAGCCTCCCAAAACCACCCAAGGGCGGAAAAATATTTTCTCAATCATGTTTTCGTGACACATGATGCAGTTAAATAATTTTCCAAGAACAATATTTTTTCCAGAAATTTTGTCATTTGTTAGAAAAATTAATCCTTTTTCGTGTTTACCAAGAAATCCTCTCTTCCAAGTTTTGCACGAACAATTTTAAATTGATTCCCTGTTTTGCCCTTAAAAAGGTCATAATTATAGGAATTTTGATCAAAACGTGGTGCAGCGATGAGAGTTACCACTGAAATTCGTTTGATACGATTTTACCCCAAATTAAGGTAGACTCACTCGTGCGCGATCGCTTGTATTAAATATAAAGTGAATCTCATGGCTTTTACTTGATAAAATATAGGGTACACGTTTTCCAAAAAGCATACGAAAGTTAGTCTGCGGAAAATCCCGCTGACTCGAACACTTTCCTGGGCCATTTGTCTTAATTTGGCAACGTGCCCCGCAAGCAATTTCACCGAAATTACAAAAATCTACAGCACATAGGTAGTAGTCTGCAGTTTGCACCTATACGTTAAACGTACATCCACACGCGTCTGAAAATTTCGCGTCACGTGTAAATTTTTCAATTCAATCGAAAATCCACTCCTGCAGGCACTCACGCAGATTTGGACAAATCCAGTCGTTGCCAGGGAGTGAACAAATGACGACAATGCGATGAATCACGCGCTTAAACGAATAAACTTCCAATAAGCGAAAGGGAGCGATGGTCGACCAATTTATCGAGGGAGAAATCCTCGTTATTCTTCTATCATATGTATACGTAGTGTGAGGGCAGCCTAAAGCGCGCCCTGATAACTATACGTCAAAGGAATTGGATGGCTCGATAAAAACCATTTGGTAAAACAAAAGAAAAAAAAAAAAAAAAAAAAGTTGAAAGGTGCAAAATGATTGCTCAACTTTTTAGACGCGAAGGTACAGATTTGTATCCGTTATATACAATGTAAACAAGGGACGAGGGCTTGAATGTCCACCGAGCAATTAATTAGCCTCTTTCATCGTTGAATTATTCAGTGTTGATGAGTCTTTTTTTATTATTTATAATTATCATTCGTTTTTTTTTTTCGTTTCTCATTTTTTATGTCTTTACCTTCTTGTGGGCTTTATCCAAAATGACAATTGTTTTGGGATCCCACCTGAAATTCTTTGTTGAGTCATAAACAGACATGATAAAAAAGGATGCGTGGTAGTTATAGGTGCGAGTAGCAAATAGATCTTAAGGATGGAAAAGCCCCAACAATTTGAAGCGTCAGCTGGAAGGGAAGGGACGAGACGACAGCACGCGCGGCAACATAATTTACTAATGTTTGTTATGGGTTACCATGGAGGGAACGGTAGTGTAGTGGTGGTGGTGAGATATATAACAATAAGTAACGACGAAACAGCTATTTTTGGCAAGCTGCCAAAACCCAAGGAAACATGGATAGTCTTATATCGTGCTATGCATAGCACGGCGGTGGTGGTTGCGGAGCTGCTCTTGCCGCTTGACTCGGCTCTTCCACTCGAGCGATTACGCGGCTCCTCTCAGTATACTACCACCACAACTGTCCTGTGAAATTTTCTAGATACGCTTGGCTACTAATATAATTATATCTACCTTTAGGAGTCAATCAGGAGTTGTTGGGTTACTGCTGTCTTTTAGCCTCATCCAAACTTTACTAGAACGAAAATTAAGCCATGGCATTTACGTACACGCTTCACAGTTTGTACGTCTTGCTTTGCTATGAGACTTTCAAATATACTCGTGAGGAATATCATGGACACTCATGCGCTTACCGCTCCCTGATGCACTTTTCAAGTACCTGTATACATATTTTTTCTATCTGTAGCATGTAGAATACATAAGAGATAATCGTGTTTAAACTGACCAATTTGTCAACAAGTGCAGAAATCGCGTTTTGGCTCTTGACCTGGAGTGCCTACTTCTTTTCTTAAGTTGACCTGTTTTCACTCCTCTACCGAAACGTATGTATACACGAATCGTTATCTTGAAAATACAAGATTTTGACTATCACCACTGTACGGACCAAGAAATTACAATAGTCGTACAACGATGAGAGATGATGGGGGTTGGATGAATCGAATGAAAATACTCGATTATTCGGTAGCTCGCGCGAAAGACACGTACAGCAGCTCCAGTATTTGATGAGCAAACACAAGGAACCAGAGCACGAGGTGCAGAGGGTCAGTGTGCACACATCAAATTATAATCAGTGGAAGGTCGGCAATGCCTGATGCCTGCGCGGCTTGAGAAGGAAGTCGAGCCAGTTAATTGTGAGTCCACCACCACAGCTGGCGCAGTGCGGAAGATTGTGTGGAGAGCGAGAGATGGGGGGTGGGGGGAGGATTTCATGCGGATAAACCAATTAAACGCGCAGTAGCCGCCGACTTCTGCCGGGCCCACGTCTGGCTTTCAGTTCTCTATTTGCCGACGATTTTCGGCCTATTAACCAGTTTGTTATTGAACCGGCTTAGCTCGCGACGCGGCAAGCTCCGAGAGCTGGATTAGAGGTGTTGCCTCGTTTCCCCAGCTTCCTGTGCCTTCTCCACCCCCTTATGCGTATGCCGTGTACCTGCTACGGAAGCGCATCCACCAGAGCTTGGTTTTACGAGCTGAATTCGAGCTGGCTTTTTTTGGGGATACAGGGTGTATGGGGTGGGGGTGGATTTGTTGTTGAATTTTTCTCGTGCCTCTGTTAACATTTCAAAACGCGGCGTCACACAATCACAAAACTGGTGGATCTCAAAAATATACATCTTTTTTCTCATATACAGTATGACCTATGTTTAATTACGTACAATGAAATTTAGGTCGTTGTTCTGGTGGAAAATATATTTATACCGATCGTGAATTACATACCTTTCGAATTTCAGGAGACTTGAGCATGTTTTATAAAGTATTAGATATATTTTTTTATTCGTTTGAATTCACGGCTGTCACTGACTGTGTTGGTAACATCGCAAAACTTGTCTCACATACAATATATTATGGTGTGGTATTGCGACTCAAACCAGAAATGACCAAAAAAACTTTGGTTGACCAACTGTACTGACGAACTATTACGTAAATGATTATAATCGTGAAAGTAGATATCTATTTAATCGAGTTAATCGTGCGATATGAGGAATGAAAAAAATTTTTTTTTCACATTTCATGCGAATACAGTATAATATGTACATGCTACAGTGTCGTATCAGGTTTTTAATGAGCCTCTGTTTACTTGTTTTTCTTACAGGTGACATGGAGATGCTGACCTACTTCTTCGGACCGATTGGCCTACTCCTTGCAATAAATCTTCTATTTTTCTCGGCAACCGCCCGCGAGCTGACGTGCGGCCTCTGGAAAGGCGAATTCGTAAAAAGCACCACTGAAAGGTAAGTTAACAACATTCTACTAACATAGGGTTGGGGGGAAAAGTAAGATAAAAACGTAACAGATGGTATAAAGAAGTAGGAGCTTTTTCTTATTTGCAAAAATTACGAGTGACAAAAGGTTGAGGATCTAATGAAAGCTGCGTTTAAACGTAAGAGTAAAGTTGATGTGGTAGTGAGCACATAAACTAGAGTCTACACTAGAGTTCTACTCAATACTGTAGCTTTATTTTCATTTGAATGTACCTCTATTTCAACTCATATTTCAAAAAATGCAGGGAAAATGGTAGAGAGAGAGAGAGAGAGAAAGTAATAAAAGAAATTTTATTAGAGTTAGCTGGAATTCGTTTTACCGTCATGTTTAATAAATAAAACCATGAAGTAATCTATTAAATTTTGGCTATTCAAGCCTAGCTTTACGTGTAATGTACCTTAACCGACAGTGTGGATTTCTGAAAAAATCACATTTCACACCCAGTGCGTATGAATAGCTGCACTACGCAAACCACATCACTTGTACATTCACCATGTGCAAAATATGTCTGTTTCTACTGATACCGTAGACAACCCGAGCTTTTGTAGCTTTGATGTTGAGCTTCTTGTGAAAGTTTTCTTGAAGCAAACAGAAATGCACTTTTACGTATTAGAGTTTATGCTACAACGTGATGCTGAAACTCTTGAAATATTATTTCCTACAAAAGGGGGAAAAAAATTAAATCTTACCGAGTTTCAAAAGTCTTATCGAAATAGAAAAAAGTTATCAAAAAATATGCAGTAGTAAATAGTTATCATCATTCACACACCCATATCAAGTCAAGATGAACGTTTTCTTAGGATTTATTGATAAAATGTTGTAAAAAATAACAATTTTAAATGGGTACTAAATTTTTTTCAAGAAAATTCAACGTCTTGGCTTCTGTCATGCACCATAGCGTATCTGTGACAAATGAAACCAGAATTAGCCCTCTTAGCTAGCAGATACCTAAAAAATAGACATACCTACGAATATACGTTAATGCAGGCACCTAACAAGAGTTCCACATTCAACAAGATAATATCTGTAACACGGGGTAACGCAAAATTACTCTCGCACACGAACGGGGGTTCATGGGGTAATTACTCGGTGTCTGATATCCATCACGCGAATGGCACATACGTATTTTGGAGGTTGGACCGCAGGTACATGAAGCCGCATCAGCAGAGAGAATCTGATCTAAATCATCCCTGCCGCAGACGGAGGAGCTTGGTATGGCATAACCATATATATTATATATATGTACATGGCGCGATGATCTCTGCCCACGTGGATGTCGGGAAGAAGCAGTCAGCCGTCGACTATGGCCTCGTGTGTTGAGTACTATGTTATTTCTCGGACTATGTCTCTAGTATTCCCTAATAGTTGCGCTCCAGTGCTCTTGGGTGATTAACGCGGCTGTGCATCATGCGTGCGTCTTTACGCACCGCAGAGAAAGAGAGGAAGGCTTTTTCGGTGCCACTGAGAGGTATCTCTTACATTCCACTTCTTGATATTTCGTAGGTCTATTAATATTTAGATATTCTAAACTAAATCTCGCGCTGATCCACCTCTCCTTGTATCTTTTTTCTACCTTTCACACGCGTGTCCTCCAATTAGTAGCATTTTGACGAATTAGCACACCAGTAAGAGGACTTTGATAGGATGGCTGTTGAAGCTATAATTACCAAAACCACACCTGAGCAAAACGAATTTTAAATTTTCAACAATATTTATTTGGCCTGATAAAGTATCAGCTTCAGATACGGAAGTGGTAGTTTTTCACTCCAATGTACAACTAAACCAAATGACTAAAAATACCTGTGTATACATGTATGCATGTAAATGCCGGCAAAGTTAGTCGAGTATGATACAGCGACAGCACGCACAATTAGAGCAGAGGCGAGCAGTGGAGAGTGCCTCTGGGCGGTATATAGTCTCCACAACCCGCTGCATATCGGAACCGATTTAGCAATTAGACTGCGACGCTCGTGTCGCTGCCAGCGTGTCTGTCGCCAGAGGCAGACCCTCCTCGGTCTATAGCCGCTGCTCATCTCACGCGCGTTATCAGCGTTGCGCGACCGCTGCACTGGATTTCCTCTCTTCCCCGAGACTAGCTAGGCCAATTTCAAGTATAATTTGCCGTAGAGCCCTTTTTCGCTGTCTTTTCATGTGTTCTGTGGATTATGTGCTTGTGGATTATGGCCAACTTTTTTTTTTTTTTTTTTTGCTCTCTAATCCTCGGACGTAACACCCTTGGGGGCTAATAATCGTAGTTGCTCCACCTGTGATGAAATCAATAAGCCAGATCGTGTTTTTCCATTTTACTCGTTGCCACAGTTTTGTGTTCAATATTCTTTGTCAGACTCGTACTATCGTGTTTTCGTAGATCGGCTCTTTTTCGCTCAACAAACGAGAGAAACATAGTTTTGTCACTCAAATAGCCCAGTATGGTATTTGACACATTTTCTGATATCATCATTTCGTTTAAATTAACCCGAAATACAGTTCGTACAATTAAACACCACAGAAACGTGGTTGTAAATATATTATAAAATTACGTAAACCTTCGCCAATGGGTGCGAGGTATTTATGCTTTTAATCCGATTTAATTTTATTCCTAAAATCTGGAACTCTCTATCGTTTGTACATATAAATAACTTTGAACGTTTGCCGACAAGTATCTACGTCCGAGAACTCGTGCACAGGCTTTAACCAGCAGAACACCGGATTCATTTTAAATTTTTACCAAGTTAAAATATTCCAAAATAAAAATCACGTGTCGTAATCGATATATTACACACAAAAGGAGGCTATGACGTTATTTTTTGTTTCCTCTAAACGAGAAGGGGCGAACAAGTCGCGATCAGTCGATTTGTTGAAAAAACACGAGCCATCGGTTCCAATGGCGACAATATCGTCTGGTGGTACGAGTCGTTACAATAAAATGGTATGATATCCGTGAAGTCAATTGAAAGTTGCCCTATTTCTTTCAGACGCTTTTAACATAACTTTACGATCGACTGCTCGAATACCATCAAAGACTCCCGGCTACTTTCCATTATACGTAGCTCTTAGTCTTTACTTACCTATACTCCGTACGACATAACTTTCGTCGTCGTCGTCGTCGTCGTCGTCGCCACAGCTTCTACTCTCGCGGAGTAATAAAGTAGGTCGTTTCATTTGCGACTGCTTTGTGTGTATTACCATTACAATTGACTTCGGTCATTCTTGAAAATTAATCTTCCGATGGTTCTTTTCTTAGATATTTTTACCTAAACGAAGTCTGCACCATCGATCGTAGGAAATGTTCTTACAGATGTGATTCCAGAAAAACTAAATTTCGCAAGCTCTCTCGTAGTAGAGGAGTAAAGTTTGTATGATCCAAAACACACAGAAAGAAAGATAAGCAAGGATTATAAGGTTACCAGAATAAACTAAAATTTTTATCCACACATGCCTGCTATGACTGTCGTGCGGTTGACACCGGTGTATAAGCCCATCAGGCTCATTAAAGCCCCGGCACGTATACGCGCACCTATACAGCCCCAAATGGCCACAATGCAGCCCCATTAAACGGACTACTTACCACAGTCCAATAGCAGCGGCTTAGGCAATATATTTTAGAAATACCTTGGGGCTAATAAATGTCAGCTGAGTTGCTGTTGCTGCGAATGCGCTTTTGCCTCTCGTATTACAATACAATACATACATATATTTGTACGTTTGAAAACCTGTTTTTGCGCGTAGAAAAAACAGGGAGAAGAAAATAGGTAGGAAAATATCGCGTACTTACAGGAGTATGTGGCTTTTTTTTTCCTAGGCCACCATGTAGGCCTTGAAGCTTTTTATGATTTATCGCAGATTTCGTGCTAGCCATGATGTAGTTGCACTGCGGTAGATCAGGTGTCAGGTTTCTCGTAGCTCATTAATTGCTACGAGATACGCTTGGGCTGCTTTGAGAGCTTGTAAGCTCTCTCTGCTGCTGCTACTTTCTGAATCGGCCAAACAAAAATATTTTCAATTGTAATTTTTAAAACTTATAATCATAAGATACCTTACTTTAGGGATCTGCACACGTTTACTCCTAATGTATCCCAAAATACTCATTCTAAACTCAATTGACGATTTTTCTCCTATTTAGCTTTGCAGTGTACAGCTACGGTGATTCGTCATCGCGTCTGATCATCTTTTTTTCTGAGCCATTTTTCAAAGCCACTAAACGGTATTAACGAATGTCGAGTTAATTATAAGATGTGAAAAACTAAAAGAGTAGCAAAGGGATAAGATCTTATTCCCCTCTTCTGAGTGCTTTGATAAAATGGTCAGACCCTTACAGAGAAAGATATTGCGAGAAATTCTTCCGTGAGGTCACATACCTTCTTTTTAAAGCAGTAAAAGCCATTGCCACTTTTTTGCTCATCTACGAAACAAGTAAGGTCTTCACCTAACGACTTAACAGCGACGATCTCTAAAAATCTCAGTGGTGCCCGCTTCATTAAATATCCATGGTTGACACATGGTTTACAACATGAGAGGTTATCGATCTTACATTTTAACCACCTCAGAAACATTCCAGTCGATATATCTCTTCGCATTAGCTTGTAAGGGATTCAATGGCCAACACAAGTAATAAAGAATCGTTACACAAATTGTTGAGTAAGGGAACAGAATGTACCTCATGGATGATGATTAAACACGTGGCGTGAGGTTCATCCCTGTTCTATATGTATAAATAATCTTCATCTTGCAACGCTCACGTTGATTTACATTCAATAAAGTCGTTGGTGTAACTATCCGGTGTGAGCTGTGAAAAGGATAAATTCTCGAGATACCATCCAGTCGTATATATTTGTGGAGGATAAATTTCAAGATCCCAACTTGGCGCACACGAGTCGAGGAAAAAATTTTTCAGCAATTTTTGTAACACAATGAAAACCCGTGCCCAGGCGATGCATCAAAAAGATTGACGTCTAACAAGGTTCATATAAATAAAACATGGCGAACAAGACTATTTGGTGTTTTGTATCCCGGTGTAGATAATTACCAGCAGCAGCGTCGCTAAAGCCGTGCTGCAAATCAAAAAGCCCACTTGTAAGGCAATTATTTTCCCCCCACGATGTTTTATAGAATGTATACGTATAAGCGAGAGGGCGAAAGGGAGACTTCTTTTGCCTGTTGGTGCTAGCGTGGCTCGACCGCCCGCGGCAGCATCGAGAAAAATCTCGCCTTGTTATTGCGAAACCTGTTTCCTCCCCGTCAGCTCGCCTGCGCGCTCTCCTCTTCGTATAGCCTTAGCACCCTCCTCGTGTTTCTTCTACGCGAAAAATCAGCTGACAAAGCTCACCGATTTGTTCTCTTTGGGTATACATGTACCGCAGGTCGTTGACGTCCCAGATGATACGAGTGGAATCACTGTTTTCTGTTGCTTCCTGATGTAATTTGTTATCTACCGTCTTGTCATGTCATTGTCATGTTTCGGTATTTTCGTACAACACTTTCATACTCTATCAAACCAATGGTGCACTGATGACAGATATATTCTTTTGAATCCGCACTTGGGCTTAACTTCTTATACAGTAACATTTTGGTTTTTTTTTTTACTGAACTCTTTTTGCCTTATTTTCTTTTCGGACTAGTATAGAAGTAATTCCTTCCATTTTCTTCTAGCTTAATAGCGTTTATTGTCTATGCATGAACATTTAAAATCTCGTTACCTAAAATTTTATCTGCAGTTCTGGCCTTAGGTCCTCATTGTAGTGACTTGTTTTTCTTCATAATACTTAACACAGTCCTATCTATATAAGGCAAATATGCGCCCCCATACATGAAACCTTACTACCTTTACCTAATGAAGGGTGTTGATCTCTTTGAAACAACAAAACAAGTGATTTAAACATATCATAAGACACACCAAGTCCAACTCCTCTACCGTTTCAAAATCTAAATCGGCATTTCTGTACCTTTTCCTTAGATTTTCCTTTTTTTTGTCTTTTCCAGCAGTATAATCCCTGTACTTTTCTACTTAGCAAATAGTTCTTTTTAAATTTTCTGATACATTTAGTTAGTGCTTCCTCTACTGGTACTATCATTCTAATCCACGTATTATTATGTTACATTTCACTTGTGCTATACCAAAGCATGAGAATACTCTTTTACTTTTGCATGTCTCGTTGAGCGTCTCTTGTACTTCAATTTTTCCTCCTTTTACTGTTTCCTTTGTTTTTTATTACATGTACTTCCTTTACTTTCCATCTTTTCCTGTAAAAGTGTCAAATTAATGCTTTATTCCACATTATGACACAGAAGCATATTACCTTTGCATTTTATAAGGAAGATAAATAACGTAACGAACAAGTAACACAACGACAACTCCCCTATTCCTTTTCAACTCGAACACTTTGCACATTCTTCTTGTCGTTGCCGTATATTAGCGAGCGGTTAAGCGAAGAGGCAATTCTCGCACAGCGTGCCGACAATTAACGTCAAAATTAAAACCAGCTCAGAGATACAAACCGCCCGTAACCCATTTTTCCACTCTCCGGCCTCATATGCCTTCCATCCACTGCTCTTCTCCCGTGCCAGAGTTGTCGTCTCTTACAGCTCCCATGATAATTAGCACAAAAGAGTGGAGCGCACCAGCTGTTCTGTACGCAAATAGAAGCGCATCTCGACGCTTCCGTGATTTTGTATGCCAAAGTGGTTGCTGCTGTTACGCTCTTGAATACTCCAACTTGAACTGTGGAAAAAAAAATGAACAGAGGAAACATGTTGAAGGATAGCTGTGATGGCAGCACTATGCGACATACACTTGTGTATGGAGACCCTTGGGACATATGATTCTTGTAAGCTACGACGGACAACATCAATGTGATGACTTCGCAAAAATAACTTTGCTTATAGCTTTTACCCGTTTTACCTACACAAGCAATACATTCACAAATGCTAAATATAATGTATGGAGAAATTTCCTTTCTTAGTTTTTTAAATAGCAGTACACACTTGAATGCTACTCGTAAAATTGAAAATTTACTATTCTATCTAAAACCTCAATCAATTAATCACTTCATGAAGGATACTACTCACTTCCCTAAACGCTAGGTAACTACCTATGGTGCGAATGCCCGTGCCCTCTCCCGGATGTATTTTCTAATAGAGAGGTGAGAGAAGCTAAATAGGAATGTACTAAACATGTAAATATGATTTTAACTTTATGGGTTACTTGTACTGTAAAAACACACTTGCTTCAACTACTTGGATACTTGATTCAACCATCGCAAACATTCATATCCCTTTCAACATTCCATAATCACGTGAAATTTAAAGACAAAATAGCTCTTTGTGCATGGTTATCACATACCTGGTTAGCTTTCCTCACCCCCCCCCCATATTGAGACATTTTGACGACTGATGTCGCTGACGGTGGTAGTTACCTAGCGTATGTTATACCAACCGTATATAATCACTGATCAACACAATTTTAGACAGGACTAATCCAAGCCTCGCTTCTCGTCTTCTGTTTGTTTCAGAGCCGCGCTGAGCAAGGTCTGCCTGAAGCTCGTGGTGGTGATGGGCGTGCCGTGGATCTTTGATGTGGTGTCGTGGCTGGCCGGTGGTCCAGCCTTCCTCTGGTACCTGACCGACGTGCTAAATGCTGCCCAGGGCGTCCTCATCTTCATCGTCGTGGGCTGCCAGCCTCAAGTGCGCGCAGCCCTCAAGCGGATCTGGTCATGCAATCCTCGTGCCAATGCTAGCCGTCAAGGAAACGGGCTGAGCACCACCAGCCACGGGATGCCCAGTATGGGCGACAGCGTCACTCAGAACCCCAGCACCAAGACTGCACCGCTCGAAACTATCTGCTGAACTGGGATGGGTGGAACCACACATTGGCGCATCGTTGATTCGTCGATTTAATGTGCAAGTCGATGCGGACTATTCGAGGATCTGCGATTGTCTGCAACCGATCAGAGTGATCAAATAGAGAGCGATAATTCAAAAGTATTTACAATTTCGAAGCGTCAGTGGAAGAGTAGCAGAACTTATCTGGAGCTAGTGAAGAAGTCGCTTGGAAATTGTTTCCACGTAGCAGAGCCACTGATTTATTATAGTTTGAAAGTCAAAGTAGACGATTTTTCCAACCGATAGGCTTTTTTTTGCTCGATTCATTTTTCGTGATAGGATCGAAGGATCAATCGCCGTACGTGGGTGATGTTTCCGAAGAACGGGTTCGAGATTAAACGAAAGGGCAAGAAGTGAGGAACTTTTTTAATCACGCGTTTCTTCTTTACGGTCAAACTAATGGGTGAACATTAATTTAAAAAATTTATGTGTCACGCTTTTGTACGAGAAAAAGGAACTGGTCTGTTTTTACCTGAAGCTGATCCTTAGCACTGATAAGGAAAAGGTTTTTACGAGAATTGGTTCAGAGTGTGATCAAGTAATGAAATTTGAGTGACTTTTAGGGATGAAAAAATTGAATTTTCTTAGGGACTATCTGTAGCTTGACATTGAAAAAAATGTACTGAACATTTTTGAAAGTATTTCGAAACAAAAATAATAATTTCGTCAATTTTGCGTGAATTTCTAAAAGCTCATTCTTTACAACCTAGAATAAACCGAAGGACGCTTTTGGTCATTTTTAGATATACATACAATGTATAGCAATTTTTGGTACATTTTTTATAAAATATCAATTTTTAGTGATACGTCTATGCCAACAAATTAACGAGAGTTAAAGAATACAGTAAGATACACGATTGTAACTGTTTTGAAAGCACTTATTTACAAATCTCGTGTGATACGAGACAATTGGGATAAGTCAATTTTATAAAAAAAAATTTTACATCGTAATGTTATGTGATGATTATAAGTCGAAATTTTACAAGAAAAGTGTTTGATATACTTCAAATGGGCCTACTTTACCGAAAGCCACAAAACTTGCGCTCCACAGTTTATATACTATGTCGCGAAAACAAGAAACATTTGTGTTGCACGAAACTCGAGAAAAAAGGGAAACTGGTCCATCCCACTTTAATGCAAATAGTCCAACTATCTGCTACGAGTGTCAAATTGTTTTTAGCAGAAGCGACCAGTTGAATGTATACAAGTTGAAAGAAAATAACTGCTGAATTTTCCTACAAACGGAACAAAAAAAAAACTCAGATGCTACAACAGTGTTAGCACCGAAGCACGTCTTTTGAAAGTATTGTTTTGGGACTGACGCCCACTTTTTCACGCCAAAATACATTTTTACGAGTCAGGTGTAGCGCAAAAAACGGAGTACAGACAACGTGTCATCCGCTCGATGTCCAGCATGAATTTGCATAAGCTTTGCTAGCCGCGCAAGTGCATCTGCTGCTTTTCTGGGCTTCTACATTTGCATGCACACAGAACTGTAACATTTTTTACCAGCCAGTCGATCGAACGGATGACGTTAACGTCACACTGTCTGCTACTAGCAACGCCTTGCAAGGATCACAATTGCCAACGAAGGTAGCTTACATAATTTTTATTAAAAAAAAAAAAATTTTTTTCAACTCTACAATTACACTAAATGATTAGCTTTGGAGTTGGTATTCTCCAATATTAATTAATTTTTCATCATTTTTTTTACGAAACTTTCAAAATGCTTTAGATCTGAGGAGTTAGCTTCCATAAGTTAGAATTGTTAACTTTGTCGCATCAATTATATGTAGGAAATATCGTTCATTTTCAGCTTTAATTATCTTGAACTAAATAACGCTCGGCATGCATATACATTGGAATATTTTTAGGAATTTTAATTTAATAGAAATAGTCATTTAATGACGCTTATTAACTCTTTGATGCTTCAAAAAATTTATATAAATTTTTAGACAAAGTATAAAACGTATAATTTTAAGAAACTAGATGTTTATACCAACTAAACGTAATAGAGAACCTTTAACGCTATTGTTCAAAGCAATTCTTTCAATGCTACATTAATACGAATAATCATACATCAGTGTACCACTTTTCAAGCAAAAATAGGCTGACGTATTTGTACAGTATGTGTATGTATAGTTGTGTAGAAAAAAATTAAATGTAAATAATAAATTGTCAGGGTATAACCAATGGCAACATTCGTGACAATAAAACAAGATTTAAGTAAAAGAAAAAAAAAAAAATTATACAAGATGAAAAACAATGTAGATCTTGTACGGGCCATCGGGACGGGCATCGTGTTTATGTTAATAAACAAATAATTACACAAAAGACTACAAAACCTAACACTTTTAACTGCCATACGCTCGACAATAAACCTCGAAAACTCAAACACTGTGGTTTTTTTAATGTAAACTTTTCAAAAGCTCAACATTAAATTTTTTCAGATACTGAAGGAACTGGAAGGCTATACGATTCACTAAAAAATTTGACATCGTAATCGAAAACTCGACTCTAATATCGCAAGAAAAAAATTCACTGCCTTCTTAAATCGCCTTGCTCACGTGGTGTTCATTCGTACCGTATGGTGTTTTTTTAAAAACTTTTTTTCCTTCAAATCATCAATACAAAACATGAATATGAGAAAAACTCTGATTTTTGCATCTTAAAATTCATTAGCTCTTAAACACTTCAATAGATGTCAAACATAGAACACTTTATTTAAAAAATCCATTAAAAAAAAAAAAAAAAAAAAAAAAAAAAAAAAAANAAAATTAAAAAAAAAAAAAAAAAAAAAAAATTAGGGGGGAAGAAAGTATACGATGGTCGGAGACTCAAGGGAATGCGCTCAGATCGTAGCCACGAGATTAGCACGCTAACGTATACCTGTACTGCTCTCACTTCCATAAAGTCCCTTCGTAGCACGTTTAATGTATAAATATACGAACTTATGATGTTAATAGCGTTTTAATACCGAGTTATGATGTTTTGATAGGTTTAGATAGAGGTGGGTCGTGAGATGACATCGATAGGGACTCGTGTACATGATAAACGCCAAACCGTGAAATTAATTGATGAACTTGTTGGGTAATTTTATTTTGCAAACAAGAGAGAGGCAGAGGGATTGTGATCGTTGGTATTTAGTTACGTCACTTGTATGAAAATACTTAATTTATTAACGTATGTAAACGTATCAATGTATGACGAGTTATTTGGCAGTCTGCTTCTCACCTGCATCAATTGCACGAGCTTATCATTTGTGTGAAGCATCTGATTTAATTGTAATTTTATTTTTGTTGAATGTATCTTGTTTTTTTTTTTCTGTTCCACTCGTTACAAGAGGATTAAAGATTGTTGAGGTCATTTGCGGTAATGGATAGTCCCAAGAATCGAGTCGAACAATCTTTAATTCTGCTTTCAATTGTATAAACTGCCACTAAGAGTAAGAGTAAGTAAACTAATTTCAATGATGAAATTTATGTTATTTGTATTCAATGTGATGTGTATTATTGTATCTTTATAAAAACAAAACTCCAAGTATTTATTAGTCTAATACTCACTGACAATGTATTATTTTAGGTATTTCGCGACGTAGTAGTGATTGAAAATTATGGTTGTACATAAAAATACTTGGCCTAGATTTATGCTTAGTCGATTCGATTGTTGCACGTACGCAACTAAAATACTCGCATTGTGTAAACGCGTTGACGAGTTTGTCGACGCGCCGAAAGACAGTCCAGGGCCAACCAAATGCATCGGAAAATAAACAGAAACGCGACGCGACTGTTCGTCTAGTTACTAATCGAACGTTCGTCGACACGCACACACAGTTTGTAAATTATTGCGCCAAGTGCGTTATACTATCGAATGTATATATACGGACGTCATTCATGTAACACGTAAGTTTGTAAATGAACGCGTAGAAATATAATTAGGAACCGTTCAATTGTTAAGTGTGTATGTTATGTATATTTGTGTATGTGTGGAGTATGACAATGAGAAAATGAATGCGTCGGATTGCGAGGTCTCCGTCGAAAAATCTTTGGCGATTGCGTAGAAATCGTTTTACATGGTACTTTGGAGTTGGTGGATGCACATGCGTAATCTACTCTGTAGAAAAGTAAGTCGAGATACATATATATTTTTTTTTGTTTTCTTATTTACTACGTTATCCCTATTAAAATATATACGTATTAAGTACCTTGCCAGTAATAATTGTAGGCTCGAAGCGTGAACAAAGAGTTTTTTTTAAATGTAGAGGATTTAAAATCTTTTAGGGATTACTCTCGACAAGAGCCAAGTTCAAAAAAAGACTTGTAAGACAAAAAAAAATCTTTTTATATTTTTTGTAATCTACTAAAAAAAAAAAAAAAAAAAAAAAAAAAAAAAAAAAAAAAAAAAAAACTTAAAAGCAATAATTTTTGGTTGCGTTTCAGTAAAAACAGTTTAAAACAAAAGTAATTTTATGCACTACCGATCCCCTTTGACCATCTATTCATGCTTGCATTAGTTTTTTTTCTTTTCGTTTTACTCCAAATAGCTCGTAAAAAACACATTTACTTTTATTTATCAGCAAAACAAAACGAAGACATCGTACTACCTATGCTGGACTATACACATTCGTACCTATGATATTTTTGTCTTCAAGTCATGAGTACAACAATGCATCTATTGTAAATTGCAAAAGGACGTATACTCCACACTTTGGTTTTCACGTTTGTAATCATAAACGAAATGTGTGCTCATAAAAAAGAACTTCCCTAGGTGATGTAATGTAATGACGTTTCTCTTTTCTAATGACGAAGACTGACTATGTATAAATAACTTTGACAGTGTTTTAGGTACGCAAAAATGGATTCAAATGATTTTAGAAATTGTTTTGCTATTGTGGATGATTAAAAATCAAACTATAATTACGAAATTTTTGTAAATATAGATAGGATGATTTGCACAATTTTTTGATGGTACAAGCGAAAACTT